TGAGAAACGGTACTTTAGTACTTTCGTTGTTATTTGACAATTAGTGTCCAATCATAGTCTAATTAGGCTTAAAAGATTCGTCTCGTGAATTTCGTCTAAACTGTGTAATTAGTTTTATTTTTTATTTATATTTAATGCTTCATGCATGCGTCCAAAGATTCGATGTGTCGAAAAATCTTGAAAAATTTTGCAAAATTTTAGGAACTGAACATGCACTTATTTCAACCTTGAGAAATACTCCTGTGGTTTGTGGCAGCTTGTTCATTTAATCATTTCGCAAGCTTTTGTTCTGAACTTTGTAATCTGGCCTTGGGAATTGCATAACTTTACGAGGACGAGCAGGCCGTCAAAGCTGCAATGTAGTACTAGTACTCTATTGGTGACGCTGGTCAGTGTACATTTGATGGTAGTTGTCCCTTTGTGAAATGTGGCGCATAAAGTGCAGAAAAGCCTTACTCGCAAAAAGAAAAAAGTGCAGAAAAGCCTTTTCCAACTTTTTCTAGTGGTATTTCTGACATGGAAGTGAAAGAACCTGCTGGGGGTGGGGGATCTGCCCCAGTTTCTTGACAGCATGATTTGCAAGCTATCAACTCAAGTGATGGAGCCTTACCGGCTCCAAGTCCTATACTCCCGGGACCAAGACACCGTGCCCTTGTTTAGTTGCCGATTTTGGACAATCAAAATCACTGTGCCAACACTGTAGCACAGTGTAGCGTTTTGTTTGTGTTTGTAAATTATTGTTCAATCGTTGACTAATTAGGCTCAAAACGTTCGTCTCGTAAAGTACGACCAAATTGTGCAATTAGTTTTTGATTTCGTCAACATTTAGTACTCCATGCATGTACCACAAGTTTAATGTGATGGAGAATCTTCTTTTTGCATAGTGTCAAGTTTAGTACTCCATGCATAGGCGGTGTTTAGTTGGGCAAAGTTTGCGCGGCAAACTTTGCACAGTGAAGATTCCCTATTGTAACATTTCGTTTGTATTTGTGAATTATTGTCCAAACATTGACTAATTAGGTTTAAAAGATTCGTCTCGCAAAGTTAAAGCAAACTGTGCAATTAGTTTTTGATTTCGTCTATATTTAGTACTCCATGCATGTACCGCAAGTTTGATGTGACGGGGAATCTTCTTTTTGCATAGTGCACTTTTCAGGAGTTTGGGGTGTGTTTAGTTCACCCCAAATTCCCAACTTTGGCACTATGCAAAAAGAAGATTCCCCGTCACATCAAACTTGTGGTACATGCATGGAGTACTAAATGTTGACGAAATCAAAAACTAATTGCACAATTTGGTTGTACTTTACGAGACGAACGTTTTGAGTCTAATTAGTCAACGATGGAACAATTATTACCAAATACAAACGGAATGCTACAGTACACTACAGTAGTCTACAGGAATTCAGGCGGCGCCGATTCCTGTCAACTAAACATGGCCTTGGAGGAACTAAACAAGGGTATAGTTTCGTTGTTTCTGGGCTACACAACACAGGCAGTGGCTAAGCAGTCTGTTTCTTTTTCTTTTACTTCTTCGAGAACATACAATTACAATGTACTCCCTTGTCCCACAAAAAATACAATTTTAGTACAGTGTCATGTTTTAGTATATTAAGTTTGACAAATTATAGATAAAAAAATATCAATATTTATGATATGAAATAGATATTATTAGATTAGTTACGAAATATATTTTCATAATAAATTGATTTGGAGTCATAAATGTGAATATTATTTATTAAAAATTTGGTCAAACATGAATCTCTTTAACTCGCACGCAATATGTAGTTGCATTTTTCTGGGAAGGAGGCGGTACGTGTTTTTTTAAGGGCAATGTACGTGTTTTACTAATAGGAGAGGGGATATTTTGAAATACACGAGCAATGCGCATTTCATGTTTTTTGAGTTTTCACATGGGTAGCTCGTACGCTGTTAGTATGTTAAGAGGGACGAATACACCGAAGCCAATTGAAGGTACAGCACGCCATGCCGGCAAAGGCAGCAACGGCCAAGCCGATTGGATCATGAAACGAAGTGCCTGCCTGTAGTCTTTTTCAAGGGACCAAGGAAAGAATGAATTGGATGTAGTAGCATGCATGTAGATGTATTAGGCTAGACTTGTAGTAAATTTATTGGGCCTGTTCGCTTGTCTGAATTTCGGAAGAATTTAGATAGTTTGGAGGAATCTGTGAGAGAAAAACACTGTTTCAGATAAAAAAATAAGCGGATCAAGATTCAAGGGCACTCTTGATCCACCATTCATCCATCCTGTACAGAATCTTGTGTTTGTACTGTAGGCCCTAGGCTAGACTTTCACATATACCCCACACACAGGCCACACTGCCACAGTGGAGTACTGGACATGGGCTAGGCAGGCAACACCAACAATTGCTCCCACTGAGGCCTTGTTTAGTTCAAAAAAAAATTCTAAAAAGTGCTACAGTAGTCATTACATCGAATCTTGCGATACGTGCATTGAGCATTAAATAGAGACGGAAAAAAAACTAATTGCATAGTTTGGTGGGAAATCGCGAGACGAACGTTTTGAGTCTAATTAGTCCATGATTGAACATTAATTACCAAATAAAAACGAAAGTGCTACAGTAGCTAAATTCTTAAATTTCGTGGAACTAAACAAGACCAAGATATCTAAAATCTTTCCTCCACACCATTCTGTTCAAAACCAAAAAGGTAGACCAGCACTGCATGTGCAACGCAGGCACTGACATGGCAGCTGTTCCGTGGGCCTCTGCCTTCAGCAGCGAGCAGCACTGACCCGCTGTCTTGTGGCCCATCAGCATCTGTGTAGCGTAGGAGAGCAGACAAGAGAGGAGGATGCACAGCAGCAGTGGCAATACGGAATTGCTTTGCTCGAGTGGTGGTCAAGACTGGGAGAAGACTCGAAAGCGCCGGGGCTGCCCTCATGCACGATCTTCTCGGCTTGGCTGCTTGCAATTGCAATGGTGCAATGAGATGAAAACGGATCGGATACGAACGGATATTACTAATATTACATTTGTTTTTATATTTCTGTCTGGATTCGGATTCGAATACGGATAGTGTCAACCATATCGGATAGGATACGATTAGATATCGACATCATAAATATGCGATTTGAGTATTCGAATACGGATACGGTATTGGATGTTGAATATCCGGACTCGGATACGAATAGATCTGAACCCCTTTAAACGGATTCGGTCTCGAATACGGTCGGAAAATATCCGTACCGTTTTCATCCCTAGTCCTAGCTAAGTGCCTAAGTCTTTAGTCCTAGCTCTAGCTCTAGCTCTACCCGTTGCCCTTTTTGCAGCTGAGGTTGTCCAATCAGGCTCATGAAGTCATGAGATGCGTGTGATAAGCCCTCACTCACTTGCTATCAAGGTGCAAATGATTGTGGTCTTGAACATTCTGCATTGTCTTGCATTGAAAAGTGGATCAGAAAAAGAAAGCAGAAAGAAGAGAGAAAGCTCACACACAATTTTTGTCTAGTAATATGCCTACTGTCTGCGCAGCGATAGCACTGGTAGTAGTGCTTACCCAAACCCAACCAATTAGTAGAGTACTCCTAGAGTAGCATTGTTCCCACACTGCGGATGTTAAACTAACAGAAATTATGTGGCCAACGCTGCAGAGCTACCAGGACAGGGAGTCTGTGCAGGACGATGACAGCCAATGCCATCGTGTTGCTTCCAATCAGCAAAAGCTGGCGGTGGAAAAAAAAAAGGATTCGTTTCGCCTGAGCCTGACTGCTCGTCAGGAAACGAACAAACAAAAACTACAAAAGGATGCACGTCCAGCGAGCTCAGTCACCTCGCCCCTTTTCCACCACAGCCGTGAACGACATTGTCAGGTAAAAGCCCCTGAAATTGTGTAGCGCACGAAGCAGCGCGCTGTTTCTTGGTCAAAACTGCAGTGCACGAAGCGAAGCATTGGCCGTTGGCCATTGGGTCGAGGGAAGCTCAGGGGCTCAGCTCAGGGCGAGCAGAGGAGAGAGCTTGGAAGGAGAGGAAGAGGTAGATGTAGCTCCTCCATATGGCTTGCTGCTGATGCTGGTGCCCTACGAACGCCTTATTCCACGTCACATGGAGGGCAGGGCAGTGGCAGCGACCTTGAAATCGAAAGGCTGCACCTCGGCTGGCTGGTGCTCCAGTGACGCCCACCAAAAGGCGCAGGCGGATTAGCACCCTGTTCGCTTACAATGAAATTTGACTTACGCTGATGTTTATATAGAAATTTCGCTTACAATAAAATTTGACTTACGCTGATATTTATGTGAAAATTTTGAGAGAGAAAAATACTATTTTATGGTTGAAAAAAAGCCGAAGCCATCGGGGCATAGGATGCGTGCAGCAGGATTGTTACAGAGAGTGGGAGCAGAGCAGAGAGAGAGGCGAAAGGACACCAACAGCACGTAGTCTAGGAGACTAGGAGTAGTAAATTAAAGGCAAAATGATGGAAGCAAGCATGGCCGAATTTGGTTTAATTTGCGCGCGGGGTGCGCATTTCGAGAGCTGGCGAGACGATCCAAGCCACGAGAGCTTAGCTTAGCTTCACCATTCACCAACCACCACACAAGCAGGAAGAAGACGAGTGAGGCTGGCCGGCCGTGCTGCTGTTTGGTTTGAGCCCTGGCCTGGGGAGCTGCATCTAGGCACATACATCCGACCTCATGCGTCCAAAAACCAACGCATGGGATGCATGCCTGTGCCAGGCAGATTTGCCTGGCCGTCAACCAAACTGCTGCGGTAGAGTGTGTATTTAACCTTGGTTGAGGTTCTTCAGGTGGCCGGCCTCGTGGTGAAGAAACAAGGGAGCTGCAGAGCAACGAGACAAGAACGGCGGTGTGCGCACAGGCGCTAGAGACAGCTCTAGAAGAGCCGCAAGCCGCCACCACCGCCGCCGCCGCAGGATCAGAAGCAGCCACTCCTACCTCTGATCCTCCCTAATACAAAATCCAGGCAAGGCGGCAGGCGCCTCCAAAAGAGATCCACCACCCCCGGATGGCTTCTTGCTTCTGCTTCGGCCGCCGCCGCCCAATCATTGCCTGCTTTGTTCCCTTCCTCCTCCCCCTCCTCCTCCTCGTCGCCTTCCTCGCCTCGGCTTCGGCCTTGGCCGCTTCCGTGACGACGACGAAGCTAGGCAGCACCGGCAATGCCACGCGGCGGGTGCCGTTCAGCTCGGAGGAGGAGCTGCGCGGGTTCCGGAGCATCGCGGCCCGGCTTGCCAGGCTCAGGGGCGCGTCCATCAAGACGATCCAGGCACGTGCGCATTCGTTCCTTTGTCACGGCGACTCCAAATGCAGTGATCATCATAGAGTGAGTGACCGATCTGGTTTCCGCTTTTTTCAGAGTCCCGACGGCGACGTCATCGACTGCGTGCCGGCGCACCTGCAGCCGGCGTTCGAGCATCCCAAGCTGAGGGGCCAGAAGCCAGAGGTAGGTAAGGGGACTCAAGAGCGATGACGGGCATGCAGTTCGCCACCGATCGATCCGTGTCTGAAATGTGCGATGCCTCTGCGTGCAGAGCGAGCCTGCAGAGAGGCCGAGGAGCAGCAGTGGCCGTTTCTCCGATGCTGATCGAGGCGAGGACGACGACCCGTTGCCTCAGGTGTGGCGGCGCTCCGGCGAGTCGTGCCCGGAGGGGACGGTACCGGTGCGGCGGACCACGGAGGACGACGTGCTCAGGGCCAGCTCTTCCGCCACCCGCTTCGGGATGAAGGCCCGTGCCGGCGGCTTCGGCTCCGGCTCCGGCTCCGGCTCCGCGCGGCGCGACTCCACCGGCAGCGGCCACGAGGTCAGTGTCAGTCAGTCAGTCACCGCCACGCCGTACGGTTGCTGGCCACCACTCCAACGATTTTACCAAGGCGTTGTTTAGATTGCAAATAAGAGTTAGAAAAATTTAGCACTTTAGCACTTTCGTTGATAATTATTGTCTAATTATAAACTAATTAGGCTTAAAAGATTCGTATCGTAATTTATAATCAAACTATGTAATTAATTATTTTTTTTATCTATATTTACTGCTGCATACATGTGTCCCTAGATTCGATGCGATGGAGAAAGAGTGAAAAAGCTTTGAAACTTTAAAGCAATCTAATCAAGGCCCAAATGTTGTAAAAAAAACGATTTTACCATTGGCCGTACGACAAACTAGTTGGATGCATCGGAAAAGTAGAAATGGCACCAATAATTGCGTGATTATTGTTGTGTGCTCGAGAGCCTAATCGATCCGGCACAGGCGACAGGCTCGTGCTCGTTGATTTGCAGCCCACATAATTATTTAGTTACTAGTAGTAAACATGGCACATGCACATGCTGTCGACTCGACTGCATCGTTAACAATGGAAAAAGAAGGTCCGTACTACGTCACTGAGCAGGTAGATAGCCCGCCTCTGTTCTGTTGTGTTTGCAGCACGCGGTGGGGTACGTGACCGGCGGTCAGTTCTACGGCGCCAAGGCGAGCCTGAACGTGTGGCCGGCGCAGGTGGCGTCGCCGGCGGAGTTCAGCCTGTCGCAGATCTGGGTCATCTCCGGCGCCTTCGGCCACGACCTCAACACCATCGAGGCCGGCTGGCAGGTCAGCCCTCAGCTCTACGGCGACAACAGCCCCAGGTTCTTCACCTACTGGACAGTAAGCACCTCCATCCCTCCTCCAATCATCTTCTCCGATCATCAACCAAATCAAGGAGAAATGCGACCCAAATCATCCAATGCAACGCAACGCAGGACGACGCGTACCAGGAGACGGGCTGCTACAACCTGCACTGCTCGGGGTTCGTGCAGACGAGCAGCCGCGTGGTCATCGGCGCCGCCATCTCGCCCATCTCCTCCTACGCCGGCCGACAGTTCGACATCACGCTCCTCATCTGGAAGGACCCGCGCCGGGGCCACTGGTGGCTGCAGCTCGGCTCCGGCAGCTCCGGCGGCGGGCTCGTCGGCTACTGGCCCTCCGCGCTCTTCACGCACCTCGGCTCCCGCGCCGACATGGTGCAGTTCGGCGGCGAGGTCGTCAACGCGCGCCCCGCCGGCGCGCCGCACACGCCCACGCAGATGGGGTCCGGGCGGTTCCCGCCCGAGGGGTACGCGCGCGCCGCCTACTTCCGGAACGTGCAGCTCGTCGACTGGGACAACAGCCTCGTCCCGGCGGCTGGGCTCCGGCTGCTCGCCGACCGACCGGGGTGCTACGACATCGCCGGCGGCAGCGGCGGCGCCTGGGGCACCTACTTCTATTACGGTGGGCCCGGCAGGAACGCACGGTGCCCGTAGGGCCGTAGCTTAGGAACGGAACGGCGGAACGTACGTGCTCGCTCAAGCACACATATTAGCAGAGCCTGATTGCTAGTATATTACTACAAATGAAAGCTTTCTTTTTTTTATTTTAATCTCTCCATGTGAATATGATGCCGTTGTGATCATCTAACAATTTGTTCATTTAGTTTTTGTCTTAGAGGTTTGGTGCCGATGAGTTTGGTACAAAGGTTCGGAATTTCAACTAAAATTTCACGATTTTCGATTCTATCTATCTGTAAATTTATATACAGAACTGCTATAGACCATCTGGTTGTTTTATCCCTACCCAGCAACCGTTTCTTGATTGGGCCGACGTGACTGGGAAACCGCCCCCCCCCCCGGCGCCCGCCTTGACCCGTCCCTGCCGCTACGGCGCCCCGCGAGCCCCGAGATGGCTGCTGTGCGTAGCCCTCCCTCCCAGGAGCCTCTGTGGCAGTGCGGCATGGAAGTGGGTCAAGTTGCAGGCGGGGCGGGTTGTTAACCTAACCCGCCCGTTCACCCCGCAAAACTAGGCTTCGTGGTTGTTGTGGATCAGCTGTAATTTTTTTTGTGGCCCAAAGACTTTCAACCCTCCAAACCCGTTGGGCGAGCGAGAAGCCTCGCAACAACCCGCAACACCCTCCTCTACTCTCCCTTCCATCGCAAGCAACCGACGCAAACAACTAGTTCGAATCGATTGTTGCTCTGTTCGACCGATTGTTGTCCGCATAAGCAAGCGGCGTAAGCAAAGGCAGTTTGTAGTCGAATCGATACACACTGACTTGACTACTCAAGTCCACATGTAACCTGGATGGAGTACTCCATTTGCAACTAGGCGATACCTGTGCGTTGTGGCGGGAATTACTGGAATAAACTGTCAATTGACGATTGAAGATGCTCCGCAGCCAGATATTCTTGCCTATGGGTCTGTTCGCTTGTCTGAATTTTGGAGGAATCTGGATGGTTTAGAGGAATACTGGAGAAATTTGTGAGAGAAAAACACGGTTCCGGATGAAAAAATAAGCGGATCAAGCTAGGTTTAAGGGCACGCGAACGGGATAGAAGAATCTGAATCTGCAGACTTGAAAGCTGTTCTGGATGATATGCCCTTTTTACCAAGTAACAGATAATCATAAAAAGCACATCTAGACGTCTAGTCATATTATATAGTGGAGAAATTCTTATACTCATTTACTCCTTGCTAATATACAGCTTAGCTAGATTGATTGCTTACCGTACACTGACTGATTACAACAATTTGAAAGTCAGTCCAAAAGAATATATTTGTTGTAACTTCTGAAATGCACAGGCCTAACGTAGGGCAATTGATGGAGGGCCTCTGGAAAAAGGTCAGACTTGAGCTAGGGGATACTAATAATTTTTAGATAATGTATTGTACGTCTTACGGGTCTTGCGGGTTTTGCATATAAGTTTGTTGAATCCGCGGAACACTTGTTCGCAAGATCCGCAGCTTTGTGGCAAGCCGCAAGCCCGCTAATAAACTTTGCAGCAAGCGAGGCGGGGTAGCGGCCGGCCGCGAACGAGCCCGCCTGCAAGTTGAGAAGTGGGTGTATAGGCGGCGTAGAGGATCCAGTCCACTAGGAAAGCCGGACATGCAGGGGCTAGGGTGAGTTGCATGACTTGTATCGGATATTTGACATTTGTGAACAGTTCATATATATTTCTCTGATATTTATAATCTATAGAAATAATTTATAATTTTTTTAATTTTTTATATATATATATTTTTTAGATTTGCAATCCATAGAAATACCTAAATTACATCACTCTATCCAATAAATTACGCTGAAAAAATTATTATAAATATAGTAATAAGGCGGTGTAAATATAGCTATAAGACAGTGTAAGTGGATGGGTAAAAATCTGGTTGTTGAGAAGGACTAAAACACCCGGTTGTTTGGTAGATAGATTCTTTATATATCTGTAATTTCATTTTCTATTTAAATGAGATTTATTCAGATTCTCAAATTCTAGTCAAGATTTTTCAAAAAAAATTAGGTAGAATTTTTGGCAATTTTTGTTTCTACCGGTCCCCTCTTAGTATTTTTGTCATAACCAGTTGGGCGAATCATGGTGCTAATGATGAATTTCTACCAGATCAAAAAGCTCCTGTTGGAGAGAAAAAGTAACAATTTGAATGGTTAGTCGAGAGAAATATATACCGTTTCAAAAAATTCGTGTGAAACTCCTATTTCCAACGAAGTACAAATAGAAACCACATTGAGTTTGCTGCTTGTGCACATAAGTCATCCGTGTAATCACAAAAAATTGCCATAAAACAAATATGTGAGATAGTACGCGTTAAGCTGTTCGGTAGCAATTATTTACAGCTGGCTGCTATTGTTTCAATAGTGTTATGTGAGCACATGGGCTGTGGTTGAAATCTCTCTCGCACAACACTATTGAAATCGTAGCAGCCATGTCAACTTTTCAGGGGTGTTTGGTTTGGCTTCCAACCTGTTATAGCTTCCGCAGAAGTCAAATAGCTAACCAAAGGGGTTGGCTTTCATCCAGGTGCTTCCACAAAAGCAGTTTTTGCGTAGTACAATCTTCACAGCAGCTAGAGACCTGCTTCCACTGGCTGTAATACAATCTTTTTTCACGCGGAAGAGGAAGGCCGCCGAGTACCCACCATGGTCGCCGGAATCGTGCTGGCCGATCCAGACCACGGTCCACGGCCACAAGAGAAACAAGGAAGAAGATGACGAGCGGGGTCCGCTTATCAGTGAGAGAAGGAGAGAGTTGAGTGGGGTGGACGTGAATGACATGTGGGTCTGTTGTAGATGTTTTCCAAAAGCCACAGCTGTTCCACCAAACGCTCTTCTGCTTTTCGCACAGCTACCTTTCTACAATAGTTTTTTCACAGCCCACAACTCACAATAGTTTTTTCAAAAGCCACAGCTCAACCAAACAGGACATCAGCGCTGCAGCACAGGGGCTGTGGCTGAAATCTCTCTCACATAACACTATTGAAACAACAGCAACCAGCTACAAATGACCGTTGAACTCGCTTCGTCAACCTCGAGACCCAGGGGTTGGCAGGGTCCATTGCCCCCCCCCCCCAAGCAACACAACCAACGTTTTTTTTTACTCAATATTTATATTAAGAAATGTATAATAAAAATTCTTTTCATTTATATTTATTTGCTACTTGATACTTTATTGAACTAGTTAATGATGTTATTTGTGCTTTGGTTTCTTGTCCTCTTCCAGCATCTTATATAATTAAGAACTAGTCTTCCTATTATTTTCTCTATCTCTTTTGTTCCCACAGTAACCCTCTAATTAGCTACTAGTGCTTTCTTGTTTACTTTACTTTTGAACTGATCTCCAGTAACACCTATATTATTTGGGATTTGTGTTCCTGTTATTATCATAATTCTTTTTTCTAGCCCAAGAATTAGATTGATCGTTGTCATATGACGTTAGAGACCTAGAGCTAATTAATTTTGTTCCTTTTTTCTTTAAAATGTTTTGTGTTCATTTTTAGTTTTTAAGTTTTATTTTGTATTATAATACGATATTTATTCGGTTGTTACATATACTTTGACTGTATATGTATTTCGTCATGTGTGATTATTATTGGTCGGCTCCTCCTATGTTTAAATTCTGGCTCCTCCCCTGTCGAGGCCTGATTACGTGTCTTTTGAAGATGCTCATGAATATAGGATTTGTGTATGTATTTTATATAAATGAGTGTACCTTTTTTACGTTTAATTCGCAAAAAAAATCTACTTATACAGCATCTTTTTTTGGGTTCTTAGGAGAGGATTTCACTCGTACTGTCGTACATATAATAGGCAAAACGAAGACATTCAAGTTGTGTCGGGCCTAGTTTTGCCGATGAAATACAAGGCGAACTTGGGCTTTGCAGATTGAGTTAAAACAGAAACATGGGCCTTAGCGCGTCTGTGCTAGGCCCTGCTGAGTGCGTTTTGGAACTCCGCGAAAGACGCTGAAAAGTCCTTTTCTTTTTGAGGGGAACGACACTGAAAAGTCTGAAACACTGCTCCAAGGTCCAAGCTCAAAACCTGAAATGCCATAGGCCCATTGGCCTGTTTAGACTGTTTCCAACAGCTCATGCAAAGTAAGACGTAAACCCAAAATAGGTTGTGCACAGTGCTTTAGCTGTAAAAAACAGCGCTCCAACAGAAGACGCAAACAGAGCACGCATTTTGGGTACGAGGCGAACCAGGACGCTTATTTGCGTCGTCTCTCTCCAAGATGCAAACCTCCGGCTCCCGTAGTGGTGGGCCGTGAGGAGGCGCGGAGGTGTGAGCAGGTGCCGCCGGCAGGCGAGAATCTTGGTGGGCGAGGGCCGGCTCGGAGGGAGGAGGAGGGAGGCCGTGGGGGAGGGAGCTCCCGGAGAGATCGGCCTTGGCCGCTGCCTCAAGGGATCTGGGAGGCCGCCGGGAAGGCTAGCGAGCGGGATGAGTCGCTGGCTCCCTTGTTGGCAATCGAGGTAAGGGGCGGTCGGAGGTGCTCGTCGTGGCTTGGCGCGTTGGGCCTTTGGATCTGGCGTGGGAGGAGAAAGTCGAGGGAGGGGACGGAGGGAGGGCAGGCTCAGTCGGGTGGGGAAGCGGGATTTGCTCGGCCGAGATCGGGGAGTCCTTTTCGCCAGCGTTTCTTCAGAAGGGAGGGAGGAGGCCGTCTTGCGAGACTCAAACAAGCGAAGCATCTCTTATTTGGGTGAGGGCTGTTGGAGACGGTCGTAAGGGGCTGAAACCTAAGATTGAAAACTAATTCGTTTCGAACTCATGGCCAGCGTGGCGGGGTGCAAAGCTCTTTTTCTTTGTTTTCCAAAAGCCTTGAAAGCTTAGGTTTTTTTTATCTTTTTTCAAAAGGAAAGGAGAATTATATTAAAATTGAAATAGTACAATCCTAAATTACACATGAAAAACCCGAAATAAAGAAGATACAATATATCCATGTCTTCCATCATCTTCCTCCCAGTTGGCTTTCATCGATGCAATCAA